TATTGAATAAATTATATATTGAAGAATTAAAATTATCTATAATACATAGTATATAACCCATAATACAATTGCTTATTAAAAAAAATTGTATTACAGAGGTTATGTTATGTGTAAATTTTCCAAACATTTTTATAATTAATATAGATTTATGTCTGTTTTTTTTTACAGTATAATCTTTTTGTAAACAACACATGCATTTCTTTTATTTCCTTAAATAAAATCTTCTTTTTGAAAAATGATTGAAAAATAATAACTAGTTTTATTTTTTTTTTTAAATTGAAAAAAAAATATTGTAAAAATTAAAATTTTTAATTATTATTCTAAGCTTTGATTACTATTAGATTACTATGTTAGAAACAACTGATATTGCCAAAAGTGTTTCTTATTGTAACAAGAAGTAGTGACAAATCAATGGAAAATGGTAGGAAAGTTAACAGCAAATGCCTAAGCAAATGGTTTTGCAAAAAAATATAGCATTATAAAAAAATAAAGTAATTTCAAAAACTTTTTGTGTTGGAATGAAATGAGTTCAGTACAAAATGTGCTAAATAGATATGAAATGATTTTTAAGCCAGACAAATGGAAAATTAAACTAAAATAATACCCTCCTTTAAAATGTATTTAGATTTTAATCTGTAAATATTAATATAAAATTGTAAAACTCATCGAATTTTGATTGGTTTAGTTGCAAATTATAAGTTATTATTTGAATTGACAATCAAGGTTGCAAAAAATAAATTTTTAAAGTCTCATAATAACATCATTATTTAAAAATCAATGAGAGCACTTTTCAATAAAGTTTATATTTTTGGGTTATATTTTGGGTAATTTTCTTTGTTCAAATAGAGGTGAGATTTTTTGTTGCAATTTTTGTTGCTTTGTTGGTTTATTAAAAATTTAAAAAGTTTTGATAAATTTTTCATTAGAAAAGTCAGGAAAATTTTATAAAAGTTAGGGAAAAATCATAAAGAAAGGATTTTGAAATATTTTTGGTCACCCTGATTATATATATTAAAATTAACCAACTACATTCATATAAAAATGTTCAAAGACATTTATATTCAATATTAATCTAATAAATTGAGTGATCCTCACAATCATAATTAACAAGAAACATTTTACACATCAAATTCCTCTATTTACAAACATTATGTATAGAAAGGAGTAGAAGTATTAGAAAGTTGTCTAGATTTTGTGTCCAAAAAATTATAGTCTTTTTTAAAAGCTATGATTTTTAATTTGTTGCTCCAATAGCATCTTTAATATTGAGTCCTCTGTGTAGTGAATTAATAATATTTAGTTAAAACTCCAGCTGGTATAGATAGATTTATTCAGCAAATAATTAAATATAAAACCTAAAGATGCAATAATATTATTTAAGTGTAATATTAATAAGTGATAGGAATCAGTATTCTGTCAGCAAGAAGCCACAAGGTTTAAGTTTATGATCAAAGTTTGTTTTGATATAGTAATCTGTCTGATACACAATCACCCCAGTCAGGAGATTAAAAAAACTGGTTGCCCCGGCTAGTTTTTATTATATACAAATTAGACATTTAGAGGTATTGATATGTTTATAACTAAATTAATTTTGCTATCATAAAGTTAAAATTTATTTTATATTTTACCACCTATTTAGTGCTTTATAAGCACAAAATATAGGTGGTCCTAGAACAGCAAACATAAGTAAAGTAAGTTTTAACTTTTTTAAAGAGCAACTTTACAATTTACGATAAGTCTAAAAAAAAAAAAAAGTTAAGCATATTTTTCAAGTTCAATAATTCAATTAAGTTCGGTGCTGTATTAATTTAAGCAAAAGTTGGTAAGTGAAAAATTTGAGACAAAAAAATGTTTCGATATATGATAATGAAGATAATCTCCAGTCATTTAGAAAATTTAATATCAATTTAAAGTAATATCATTTATAATGATATTACATCAGGGGTGTACACTCAGACATTTAGTTGGTCGCCAGAAGGGCGACTGAAAGTTATCAGTTTGTTAATTTTGGTCGCACATTAACTTTTTGAGTTATGTGTTGCTATTTTTTATAAAAATTTTCCTACTCAGTGGATTTCTTGCATATTCTCGTCATTTTTTATTATAGAGCTTAGTGTAGACTAGAAATAATTTACTAAAATAAAAGTAATATTATAAACTTTTGATAACATTTTTTTTTTTTTGATAAAACACATGCCAATATATACGTCTTAGATTTTTCACTTGAATAGAGCATTTATTTTATCAAAAAAATATGCGCTCTTTTTTACAACAAAAATATTGACAAATGTAAAAAACAGAGTTGTTAGTCCTTGGCCTTGGCCTTGCCTTTAGGCCAAAATTTAGGTCCTTGAACTTGGACTTAACCTTGTTTATTTTAGCAAATTCATTTTTTTCGAATTTAGAACAATAGAATTGTTTAAAAGTAATTACATGCTGTAATTCATTAATGTTTAACGTTATATAATATTATTTGGTTACCTACTGTTAGTTATGTTAGTTAATGTGCCCTCATAGAGCTCGTATGTCAGATTCTTTGCTTGAAACATTAATGTTTCTTAAATGCAATAAAGACTTGTAGACTATAATAGTTCATTTGACAACTTATATTTAATGTTAAAAAATAATATTAACATCTTATATTTTTAAATTTTTACGTATTTTTGTTTTTGGTTTTACTATATATCTATTTATCTATATATCTATTATCGATCCCCACCACGTCACGTCCCTGGTAGTACTGCACTCAACTTGTTTCTCCACGCAGCGGCCTTGTTCATCAAGGTTCATGTTTCGGAGTTATAGAGTTGAGAGAGGGTTATAACCACAATTAAGTAACCTCCTCATCTGTAGTGGCCTTCTCGGCCTTGGGGAGTTAAAATGACAAAAAAAAAAAAAAAATTCTAATATTTTTTCTTATTGACAATATAAAACGCATAATCTTGATTTATATGAAATACTTGGATATGTCCTTTACCTTGTCCTTGGCTTTGAAATTCTTTGTCCTTGGCCTTGACCTCGGCTTTGGAACCTGTGGCCTTGGATCATGTGGCCTTTTCTTTGGAACACCTGGCTTCGGCCTTGAAAAATTTGGCCTTGACCTTAGCCTTGGCCTTAGCCTTGGTCTTGGCCTTGGAACATGTGGCTTTGGCCTTGGCCTTGCTATATTTGGCCTTGTTAACAACTCTGGTAAAAAAAACAATTAACAAATACTTTAAAACCCTTTGCTTTCAATGTGTTATTAAGATTAAGATCTAATTGTTAGATTAGAAAAAAACACACTAAACTTTGCAAAACTATTTAACATTCATTTGAAACTAAAGTTAACATCCAAGGTTTTTCTATTTTAAATTACTTTAAAACTAAATTAAGATTTTTAAAATCATATTTAATTTCAATTCTATTAAAAACAATTTTTTTTTATAAAACAATTTTCTTTAAAAAATTCTCAATTGCGGTTATGTGCTTTTATTACCTAACTTTTAATTACCAAATATTTTCTAAATAAGCCTCACATGAATGATGAAAATAGAAAAATTTAAATATATAAAAAAAAAAAATTTTTTTTTGCTTAACTAAACGCTTTTGACATTTACAAAAAAAGGGAGCTGTATGACGCTTCTTAACAAGGTCTGTAAAAGTATTTTTTGGCAAATTTAGTTCTATTATCTCTAAATTCTAAAATAAAATTTGTTAAAAAATAAAAAGTATTTTTATTGAAAAAATAAAACTTTTTAGTTTTTATAAAGAAAGTATTTAATTGAATTTAATTAAATACTTTTAAACACTTGTACAATTTTCTTATGTTCAAATTTATAATAGAAAATTCAGAAAACAAACTTTGAAACTGTGACTTTAAAAATATAATTTCATTATTATTTTAGATAGAGCTGATTTTCTTTTTATAAATTTCTTGAAATAAAAAAAAAACAAAAAAAACAACAATAACTGGCAATATTAATTAGTACAATAGCAACCATGTCTACACTTAGCTTGTTTCTATGAGCAATAGTTTAATTCAGCTTGTGTTATGGAGTTAAAGAGTTTAAACTTTTAGAAAAACTATGTTAAAAACTAATAAAGAAAAATAACTGTCATGCTCAACTTTCCAGATTATTTAGAGATTTGAAAAAATTTGTCTTCTTGCTCTACATTACAGAATGTGCTGTTAATTTTAGTCAATACTTCATTAAACTTTCAGAAACAAAAGAAGATGGAGAAGCAAGTTTAATGTTTGTAGCTAATCAATTGTTTAAAAAACATATACAAAATTTTTAATAAAAACCTTAAAGTAGTCTTTCTTTAAATAATAAATGTACAATTACAAAAATGTTTTATATATAAAGTGCACAGAAAAAAAATTAAACATACCACCTTTCACCCTCCTCCCCCTCATCCTCCTATTCCTTAACCTCACAAATATACACTTGATTTCAAATGGGTAAGATTGACGATTCCTATCATTTATTTTCATTCCTATCATTTTTACCAACAACAAAAAAAAAATTCAAATTATACAGATCAAACAACAAAAATAACTCTCATGATTGGTCATGGTCAAAAACAACTCTCATGGTTGGTCATGGTCAAAAACAACTCTCATGGTCGGTCATGGTCAAAAACAACTCTCATGGTTGGTCATGGTCAAAAACAACTCTCATGGTATTTTCAAAATATTTTTAAGTTTTCATGCCCCTAATATAAATGCAAACAATTTGAATATTTTGTAATTTTTGACTGCTGGGACCAAGTTTTCATCTGCACTAGTGGTAAAAGTATTATTGTTTTATGTTAATACATGAAAAAGTTAATGTTTTGTTGCTTTGTCATTTCCGAAAAAATGTGCTTTTTAGTTGTACTCCTGATATATGGACACAATATAATTTAATGTATATACATCAGGAGTCATACTCCTGATGTATATACATGTATAATAAGTGAAAAATTTATAATTGCTAGGATTACTTCATGTGCACATGCTTTTATTTCTTTTTTTCAAGCATTAACTAGCTTGCCGTCACTGCCAACACCAACTTCAACGACTCAATCAACAAAAGGTTTTACTCAAGTTTCTACTCAAACTTCTACAACTACTGGTATTTCTTCAAAATTTTGATGAGTATTTATTTTGTGTCTATTGTAATCTTTTTATGTGCTTCTTTGTTTCTTTTTCTTTTCATAAAAATAGATTAAAGTAGAACTCTTTTATTGTTACAACAGTAGTATATGTAGTTAGTGCTAATATTTAACGCTTTTGATTGTTAATCTAGTTGATTTAATAAAAATATTTGTAAGTTTTTTTTATTTAGAGCATCATGTGCAACCTAGCTGTGAAGCCATAGTGGATGTTGCATTCATTTTGGATTCATCCGGAAGCTTGAAAACCGAATATCAAAAAGAAAAGAATTTTTTAAAGACACTGGCTGCTATGTTTGGAATCAGCCCAAATGGTTCAAGAGTAGGGGTCATCACATTCAGCTTTCATGCTCAACTTAGTATCAAGCTAAATAGCTTTAGCGACTTGAGCAGCTTTAATGCAGCTGTAGACAATATTCCACTCATGGGTTTAACAACAAGGATTGACAGAGCACTTCGTCTGGCACAAAATGAAATGTTTACATTGGAAAACGGTGGTAGGATAGGAGTCACTAAATTAATCATTTTATTGACGGACGGTTCTCAAACCTCTGGTGGTGATGCAGAGGACCCTGACATGATAGCAGATGAGCTGCGCAAGGAAGGCTTTGTAATTATTGGTGTTGGTATTGGATTGCAAGTAAATCAAACTGAGCTTATCCACATTTCTGGTAGTCAGGCCAATGCATACAGTGCTGCTACATTTGACTCTCTTAAGGACAATGATTTTATACACAAAATAAAAACTAGCTCCTGCGAAATAGGTAACATTTTCTAGTTGTTTATAAAAACTAAAGTTAGTGTTTCAACATATATAGGTTATTTTACTATTCTATAGATTTATTTATTAAAAAATGGAATTTACTTTTGAATGTATACTTTGGTGTTTTACTCTTAACATCCTAGTCGTCAGTTAGCAATGCAATTGTTGTTAACACTCAAAAAGTAACATAATAATATACTAATAATAGGCAATGTTCAATAATAATTAAAATGCCATTAGGTACAAATGTCTATGTCACACAATATGCATCAAAACACATATTTTTTTCAACTTTTTTCTAACTATCCTCACATTGCTTCATTTTGTAGTACCATTTTAATGGGTGTTTTCATTTTGTAGTACCATTTTAATGGGTGTTTTCATTTTGTAGTACCATTTTAATGGGTGTTTTCATTTTGTAGTACCATTTTAATGGGTGTTTTCATTTTGTAGTACCATTTTAATGGGTGTTTTCATTTTGTAGTACCATTTTAATGGGTGTTTTCATTTTGTAGTACCATTTTAATGGGTGTTTTCTAGTGCATGATTAATGAGGTGAGTAAAGATTCAAGAATAAGTTCTCCTGAGATATTTGGTTATGTACACATGCATAAATAAAAAGTTTTAGATTTTCACATGTTTGCTATTTCTTGTTTTACATTTAGCAAAAGTCCAACCTAGTTGTCAAGCTGTTGTAGATATTGGCTTTATACTTGACTCATCTGGCAGTCTGAGAAAAGACTACCATAAAGAGAAGGATTTTTTAAAGAGCCTGATTGCTGTATTTGGTTTAAGTGCCAATGGATCAAGAGCAGGAGTGATAACATTCAGTTATCATGCTGAGCACAGTATCATGCTGAACAGTTTTTCAGACTTGAGTAGCTTTAATAAAGCTGTTGATGATATTCCGCTAATGGGTTTAACAACAAGAATAGATAGAGCACTTCGTCTTGCACAAAGAAAATTGTTCTTATCAAAGCACGGAGGTAGAAAGGGTGTTGCAAAATTACTGTTTGTATTGACAGACGGTTCTCAAACTCCAGATGCTGATGCTGAAGATCCAGACATGATTGCAGATGAATTGCGGGCAATGGGAGTTTCCATTATTGGCATAGGTATTGGTAGTGAGGTGAATGAAACTGAGCTAGCTCATATTGCTGGTGGCGAAAGTAACAGATACAGTGCGAGCACATTTGATAAACTGAAAGAAAGAACTTTTTTAAACAACATTAAGATGAGTTCATGTAAAATAGGTAGGTTTATGAAGGTTGTTTCTATTATCAGAAATCTCATTCATTGTTTTTTTATTTCTCGTATTTTTTCAGTTTATTTAACAAGTACTTATGTAACAAAACATTGTTGTTCATTTATAAAACTTTTGCATTTGTTTTTCAATGTTTTTAAATATGTTACTTATTTAATTTTTTAGCATCTGATGGTTTTTCAAATGGTTCTATAACTGATATAACTGATGATAAAAATGATGAACAGAAAACAACATTAGCTCCGCTTATAGCAAGTATATATTTTAGTCGTTTTTTTTACTTTTTTTTTCGTAACTAATTTTTAATTATCTTTTAAATATATATATACCCTATAACCTTTTTAAGTTACATTTTTTATTGCAGCGTAAACAAGATTTGTTATGTTACGCGCAAAATGTCCGTTCTTTTTATTAAACAGAGACCTAACATTTTACATAATGATGTGTAATACTGTAACATAACATTACAATATGGACACAATATAATTTAGCATAAAATTTTTTTTACATAAAATTGTAGCCTGTGGTATCTTTCTAATTTATTGACTTTTGTTGCATCATTAACTTGTTTATGTATTAATAATATTATGATAATTATGTTTAATAATATTATGATTAATAGTTTATGTATTAATTTATGTATGTTAATTAAGATTAGAAAATATCTATATTCATAGATATGTGTATTTTAGTTGTTTATTGTTTATGTTCTAGACAGGTTATCCTTAGAGCATAGAATATAAACTTGAATATAAACTTAAATGCATAGATAACAGTAAAACAGCAATACTACACACAAATAATATTCAATCTTTGTAAATTGTACTTTGTACATTGTTTCCTGCCTAGGATGATGAATGCTGGATCTCCTTGACTCTACTCATAGAATTTTGCTTACGCCTCCTTGATTATGGCTATGCAACTCTTCCTGTTATCTCCAAATGAGGGTACAGCTCTAAAACTCATTTTAATGGTTCTGAGGCCGGCTGGTAGTAAGGTTTCCCAAACTCTGTGGTAGCTCTCAGAGAGGCTAATTCCATCAACAGCTGCAAAATATCAGAGTATTAACAGTGCCATGTTGCGCATGGATGGTGTCCCTGCTTTTGGTGTGCATTGTCAAGGCCACATAAGGAGCCCTATGTCACGGCTTAGGGTTAATTAACAGGACAGAGAAAACTGCATAGCTCATTGATTAGGAGGCTGTGCTCTATCTATGAATGAGTCAAGTTCTCATTAAACCCAAATCATGACTAAAGTAACCAAAAATTTAAAACCTAAAAAACCATCCCCACCACCTAAATATTTTAATATATCTTTTACAAATATTCGCGGTCTACGAAGCAACTTTCCATCAGTTGAGTCTTACCTCCTGCAAAATTCACCAGACTTGCTTGCACTCAGCGAAACAAATTTAAATTCTGCAATTCCTTCTTCAGATGTCAGTGTTGATGGGTACTATCCTTTGATTCGTAAAAACTCAAATAGTCACATGCTAGGTTTAGGGGTATACATACGCATTAATTCCCCTATTTGTCGTGAAATCAGGTTCGAATCCTTTGACCATTCTTTTATGTGCTTTCGCCTAGCACCTCTTCACTCTCACCTTTCTCTTTGTTTTTTATCGTTCTCCTTCTTCCCATGATTGCACTCTTTTAGATGTTATCTCTGATCAAATTGACCATGCCCTCTCTCTTTACCCCTCTGCCAATATTGTTGTTGTTGGTGATTTTAATGCCCATCACACTGAATGGCTTGGCTCTAACACCACTGATCCTGCTGGCACTAAAGCCTTTAACTTCTGCGTTTCTCAATCTTTTACTCAGATAGTTAACTTTGTGACTCGTTTTCCTGACAACCCTAATCATTTACCTTCACTCCTTGACTTATGTTTTGTCTCTGACCCTAGCTTATGTTCAGTTTCTCCCTTTTCTCCCTTAGGTGGTTCTGACCATGCAATGATCTCTATAAATCTTTCTTCTCATACTTCTTTTTTGGGCTCACCTTATCATCGCACCACCTACTACTACCCTAAAGCTGACTGGGATTCCTTTCGTGATTTTCTTCGTGATTGTCCTTGGGCTGATGTTTTTTCTCTCTCAGCTGACAAATGCGCCTCCTACGTAACCTCCTGGATTCAGGCTGGAATGGAAGCTTTTATTCCTTCTCGTCGGTTTCAAATCAAGCCTCATTCTACTTCATGGTTTTTTCCTTCTTGTGCGGCTGCTATATCCAATCGTAATCATTTTTTTCATCTTTTTCAAAAGAACAACTTTCTTGAGAACAAACGGCTATTTATTATTGCAAGAAATCGATGTAAAAAGGTGCTTTCTGATGCTAAACTCCATTATTCTCAGTTCACTAAATCTCGCATCTTATCGCAGAAGTTAGCCTCTAAAGACTTTTGGAAAATCTTCAACAGCATTGTTAACAAGAGTAGATCTAACATTCCATCTCTTATTCATGGGACTGATCTTATTACCTCTTCCAAGGATAAGGCAGAACTATTTGCAAAGAACTTTTCTTCTAATTCCACTCTTGAATCTTATGGACATTCTCTTCCTTCCATTCCAGTCAAACAGGTTGACCCATTGTTAGGAATTCAAATCACTCCGGCTTCTGTTGCTAAAGTCATATCTCAATTAAACTCGTCTACAGCTTGTGGTCCAGACAACATTCCTGTCACAGTCTTGCAGAATTGTTCTCCAGAACTTTCTTCAATTCTCTCTAAACTATATAACAAGTGTTTGACTGAGTCTTGTTTTCCTGCTTGTTGGAAAATGGCATCTGTGGTTCCGATATTCAAAAACTCTGGAGAAAATTCTGACCCCTCCAATTATCGTCCGATCAGTCTTCTTTCTGTTATTAGCAAGGTTTTTTGAGTCTTTGATCAACAAATTCCTCACATCTCATCTTGAGTCAAATAAACTACTGTCAGACAATCAATACGGTTTTTGATCCCCTCGCTTTACGGCCGACTTGCTAACTGCTGTAACTGAAAGATTTTATTGTGCATTAGATGGAGGCGGTGAGGCTAGGGCTATTGCTCTCGACATATCTAAAGCTTTCGACAAAGTTTGGCATGCTGGTCTTCTCCATAAGCTTGCTTCATATGGTGTTTCTGGGAAAGTTTTTGAGATTATCAAATCATTTCTTTCTAACCGGTTTATTAAAGTCATCCTTGAAGGCCAACACTCTTCTTTATTTCCAGTAACTTCTGGGGTTTCCCAAGGTTCCATCCTGGGCCCTGTTTTGTTTCTTATCTACATAAACAATCTTCCTGACAACCTTTCATCTAAAGTAGCTCTTTTTGCTGATGACTCAACTTTACACTCCTGTCTTGACAAAAAGTCTTCTCTTATTGATCGCCTAGAACAAGCAGCTGATCTTGAATCCGATCTCACTTCAGTAATAGATTGGGCACAGTGAATGCAAATAAAAAATTAAAAAAAAAAAAAAAATTATTAAGTAACAAACACATTACTTACTTATTTATGATTAATTAATTCAAATAGTCACCAAAGAATACAAAATAGTTGATGTTATATATACATTTTACTTCTGATATAAGTTAAGTTGTTTAAAGTTATGGGAGTAAGTTTCCTAGAACAAATTTCTTATGTATTTAAATTTAAATCAATATTTCATTAATAAATAAATTTGATTTAAATCAAATGTTCATACATTGACTGGCTCAAATAGGGACATGCTCAGTGGAGTGTATATGCAAGTTCAAAGGGTTATGGCTTGGGCAGGCAATCAAAAAGGAATTATTAACTAGTATGAAAGCCTACTGTTCTGCTTAAATTCAAAAACATATAAATCTTTGTTATCAAAAACTAATTCTTTTTAAAAACAGTATTATGTAGTGGGGATATACCCGCTTAATGTTGCTGGGATGATTTAAAAGAAGTTTCTTTTAAAATTGAACCAACAAGGAATCTTATCTTGTTATATTATAATATATTGTTTTTTTTCCCTCGACCTCAGACCTCTGTCTTCTCTCGACCTCAGACCTCTCTCCTCTCTCGACCTCAGAATTTAAAAAAAAATCAATCACTTATAATATAATTAGATTAGATTACTTGTGAGTTTCATTGAAAAAAGATTTTTTTTAAATTAGTAAATTTATAAACTTTAACCAAATAAAATGTAATGTAACGTTATAAAATCTAAGCATGTAATTAAAATGTGTCTCAAATATAGATTTTTTTATGTTATGTCTTAGTTTACACTTTTTAAAAATAAACTGTTATAAGTTTTAAAAAAAACAATTGAGATGTAACTTTGCAAAATGAAAATTTATTGATTAAACTTATTTTTAAACTTATGAGTGCACAAAAAGGAATTTTTTTTTTTTTACAAATTTGTCATGAAAAAAACTTTTCAATTCAATTAAATCTTCCCATGATGCTTTATTATTTTTTTGTTTCTATTTTTACAAAGAATTGTTTAAAAGTTGTTTTTTTTTTATTTTAACTTAGTAATCAAAGCATGAAATGATTAAAAATTACTATTTTAAAAAGACTACATTATTTTTTTAAACAATTTTTTATAAAACTAAAAAATATTTTAAGTTAAAAAAAAATAATTTAATTTCACTTTACATTCATTTAAATAAAGTTTGTTTATTTGTTCAACAATCAATAGAAGTAATTTGTAAAAGCGTTTTGCATAACTTTAACAAAACGTTTCAAAAGATAAGTTTTAAATTGAATTAAAAAAAAAAATTATTTCAAATGCAATAAAAAATGCAACACTAAGTAATTTTAACTTTGGGTAATTCCATGTCAAATCAGCCAGCTAATGTCACCACATGTTTTGGATTTTGCTAATTTTTTAATATGTTATAGTGTTTATAAAAATTAAGAAAATCTGAAATTTTGAACTTCCAACCCTTTAGGGTTATTAAGATATTCAGAATTCAATTTTGTTATTTATGCTGACTCAGCATTTTTTGCAAAATACTTTTTTTGTTGTTAAATATTTTATGAACCAAATGAGGTATCATCCTGAAATTTTGTACATAGACAATCTTCCACATAGCAGATACAAATTTCAAATTGAAAATTTTTTTGACTACCATAATTACATGTAAATTAGATAATAAAGGCATATATTTTGGAGTATTTTGATGGTCAAAATGGTAATGTCACCTTGATAATTTTTTTTGAGGCATGTTTATAACTTCATTATAGGTATCAAACATCACTATTAATAAAAAACATAATACTGCATTTTTTAACTTTTCTAAATGC